TAATATTTTTTACATCAGTGAATAGAGAATGAAGGGACCTTTCATTTGACACTTTGATCAGCAAAATCAGTCCACATTCGGTCAAGGAATCTTATGTTCACCCAATTCTGTCAGATTATCGAGATAGACTCATTTACGACGATCTTGTTGCTCTCAGTTTGAATTTTAATCATTCCTCCAGTCAGACCACTGTTGCTAAGGTCGCTGAGACAACAATGAAAGAATGGCTGAAATTGCCTCAGCCGAAGCCCGATGGAATGAAAGAGTGAGTTATCGCCTCCTCGCTACTCGCGCGAACACAACGGTGACGTCAAGTGAAATTATCAAATGATGATGCACAAATCCCTCGCACAAATTAAAAATAATGAAAAGGCCGCAGGGGTTGTCTAAATATCATGCGTGGCCCGAAATACAGTGAATTTTATAAATGTTAGGCGGGCCGCAGAAAAAGACATCACGGGCCGGAGTCTGGCCACCCCTGTTTTAGAGTTTATACAAGTTTAATATGAAAATTATGGTAAAAAGGAGTATTTTTATTATTAGCATGAAAATAACCTTGTATTCAGATTTTATCAGTAAAGGCCTCGGAAATCTTTAGTATTAATACTTCATTAAAACAATTCAGATTTTTTTGTGCACAACAGACTTGTAATGTTTACTAAAAGCTTGCGAAATATTGTGATGATAGATTTATAAATTCAAAAGTTCTAGTATGTATAGCTTCAAAGTTCTGGGTCGCATGCAGATATGCCGATCTGTATGCAGAGGGTTAACAATAATAACGAAAGATCTCAAAGAAACAAAATGAAACTATTTAACAATGATTCATTTCTTGAGCAGTGATAGTCAATAAATACATAAAAACATTTTTAACATTGATCATAGTGTAAAATATCCTTTTAACAATGATCAGGTGAAAAATGGAAAAAGGTACCCTCCTCGCAATTGTACAAGACCCAGGCCTCACTCAGTCCAGTTTGATACCATCTCCTGACCATGCTACTTCAACATCAGGACCTACTACTGTGAGATGAGTTGTACCATGATGGTAGTGTGTGAGATCATTGGTTGAATGGGCCTTGGCAGCCATTATGGTAGCTTGCTGGGCCCCTTGGGCAGCAGTAGCTCGACTTGACATTCAGATGGAGATTATTTGGCTGGTACTGGAGCTGATGGTCGTGCTGGCCAGTGATTGTGCTGTGGGCCACCACCCTTCGGTAGTGGTGGTGATGATCAGTAGGGTATCCATAGCTGCAGGTGGGTCTCCTTCTCTTGACTCGAAATTCTGAAATACCACCTGGAAGTCCAGTCGACCCTTGAATAGACTTCAGTTCTGGAATTTAGTGGGCATACATCTGATTGATATTTTGTGAGATTGTTAAGCACCCACCTACATAAACCTTTATGGGTGTCTCTTGTTGTTTAGAAGACAGCCTCAATTCCTTCTTCACTAGAGTTGATGCTTGCAGGCTTGGTTCTGGCAATGGCGTTGCTTTTTAGCAGTAGTTGCTATTAGTTCCAGGGTGGTTTTGGCTATGATCAGCCAAGTTTGTAGTTGACAATGACTGCCTAACCCTGGGAGACCTTAAGGCTGGTTTCACACCCAGTGCATTGAGGTCCCACACATCAGATGTGTCAGCAACATTTAGCACTATATATTTAGAAGTATAACATTCTGAAGCAAAAACTGTTTTAATCCAAATATACTTTCATTTTACCCAAATTAAATGTGTGAGTACAAAAAATGAAATTTTAACCACTGTTACTGTTTTAAGTTTTATTGTAGAAAGTACTTTGTAATATTTAGTATTTTGTCAGATTTTTCTTTTTTTGTTTTCTTACATTGTATTTATGCTCTCCAACTATTTTAATATATGTAATATATAAAAAGTTTTTCTTTCAATCAGTATTTTTTTACCTGACTTTTGCAGTAACGAAGTACTGTGGACCTAGTATACAGAAAAACAGTAGTAGTAATTTGTTGCAGGTGAAAGGAGAAAACAAAAATACAGTGAAATCTCATTAATCCAAGTGCACTTCTAATGAACTAATTTGTCCAGATTATTGAGATGTCGGGATAGTTGAATCAGTCACTTTGAATACAGTGGAACTTATTAATAGCTTGCTTTATTGATCAATACATGTAAGGGTTCAAACTAATAAGAGTGGGTATGCAATAGTAAAAAAGAAAAAAAACTGTATGTACAGTAAACTTATCAGCTTATAAAAATTGCATAATCAAAGTGGCATTTCATTATTTTCACATTAAACATCATTTTGCTCAAACCACTGACTTGCTTGCACAATACAAAATACATAGTATCGTTCAAATATATAACAAATTACTTTCCAAAGATAGATATAATCACAGTCTGCTTTTGAAATGAATTTTGTCCCTTTTGAAGCTTCTAAGTAGCTTTAAGTAAATAACATATTTATATCATCATCTTCACATAAATCACAGTTTTGTTTGAACAATGTTATGGTGTCTTTAAGGTTAGATCATGCTTTATTCAGATTGACTTGTGTATCGATTTTGATGCCAGATTCACTGTAACCACACTCTTGAAGCAACACAATGGAAATGATATATTCATCTGACAACTTTTGATCAATTGGTTCTGCTGAGTCAATGTTGATCAGCTAAATTGGCAGCATTACTACTCAAGACTAAGGTATGAATTTCAGAAGCAGTCTCATTAACAACTTTTAATGTCAACAGTTTCACTGTTCAGGTTATAGCCAAACATTGACCTATTTGAAAGCAGTTTTTTGGTAGTTTCCATACTAACATTGGACCATGTGAAATTTGCCATTTGTGAAGCCTCATGGACATTTAATGATGGTATCAAGGCTTCAAGTTGTTTTCTTGTATTAACAAACATCATATTTCTAATTATGCTTATATTTTTATGTATCTTTGTTTTGGAGCACTGTGACTTAACGTAACTGTAGCCTAATTCACTTTGATAACCTCTCACTATTTATTATAGTGGATATGTACCTACCTATTATAAAGATCATTGGCAGAAAACTATCATAAATCAGTACTTGATGTGACTGAAGATTCTTCTCAGAAAAATTGTTGTAAACTTGTACCCACTAGTTAATGCAGTTGTTTGGTGATCAGTAATTATCACTTTGTTTCCTGTTTCTGATCAACCCCTACTTGCCTCTTATGGAATCTTGTACAGATTACTGAATTATTTATCCATAGAAAATACGTGTTTATTATAAGAATTAGCTGTTTAGATTTGGAATGCAATTATGGATTATTGATTGAATTTTCTATTGTGAATAATACAGATTGTTGGTGTCCAGACTGTAAAAACTGTTTACTAGAGAAAGTAGAATATTCACACATTATCTAATTGGTCTAGTTATAGGACTATTGTTACATTGGTGGTTGTGAACTAATTAGGTAAACTGCATTTAAATAAAAAAAGTTAAAATATAATACACATACTAAAAGTAATCTGGTGATTAATGTTGATAATTAACTGAAATGAATATGTGTACATGATCAGCTAGTTGAAAGATGTAGAAAACAAAGACAAGACTTTCATAATACAAGTACTGACTTTTTCATTGGGCTGAATTAGCATATGACTTCAACTGGATTTAGTATGTTTCAAATTAGAACCTTTGAAAAATTTCAAAATTTTGTAAATGCAAAGTATGTTCCATAGGAGAGTGAGATATATGGTACTTGCATATCACATACTTACAATTTGAATCAAATTATGAATAATATCAATTAATTGGTTTGGTTTGAATTTCCTGAAAAGCTACATGAGGACTATCTGTGCTAGCCGTCCCTAATTTAGCACTGAAAGAGTAGAGGGAAGGCAGCTAGTCATCACCACCCACTGCCAACTTTGGGCTACTCTTTTGCCAATGAATAGTGGGATTGACTGCACATTATAACACCCCCCTGGCTGATGTTTGATGGGATGAGGATTCGACCCTGTGACCCTAAGATTGCGAGTTGAGCTCCCTAACCATCTGGCCATGCTTGGCCAATATCAATTAATAAAAGGATTAATTGTTAAACAGATGGTAAAAATATAAATTCAACAGTTCTTCTTCATCATTTTATATTGTATTAGATTGCTTTATACAGTGATATTAAAATGTATGTTGTTTATAAGTCTTTCAGGACCTAAGCTTTGAATATTGATCACCAAACTTTAAACTTCTGTACATGTGTGATACACATGAACTCTGAAAAGATATTAATGTTTTTTAAAAATGTAAAATTTTATTTTACAAAAATATCTTTTTTATAAATTTTTTTCTCAAAATGTAATTATTTATTCTGTTTATTTCTTTTCTCTATAGGATTCTTGACTAGTAAACTTCACTAAAATAATTTAATAATCTATATCATGAAATACTCAGAAACTAAATCTCTGAATGTTTATTATATTTTTAGGTATGCAAGATTAATTAACATGAGAATTCTTTGAGTATAGCCCATCAGTTTTTAAAAGTATTAAATTGTAAGCACGTTATTTTGGTTTATGTTCAGCTATCTTCAAAGAGGGTGGGTTTCTACAATAGTATTACAATGTCATGATTATGTAGATTCCTTTTACATAACTTGACATATTATGTTGTTTCAAATAGTGTGTCTTAAACTTAATATAAAAGTGTTTAAACTGTTATTAATCTTCTGTTTCCTAGATTGGCTGTCCAAGATTCATTAAGACTATCATAAGAATATCATTTCATTTGTTGTACACTAGATGTTGAATCACATTTTTACCTTCAAGAGTTGCTAATTATGTCAGTATGTGGCTTGTCTTCAGAATAAAATATAGCTTGAGAGTGGAATCTGACTTTGTGTTTCAAAACAAAAAGTAGTGACTTTGGAAGAAGGAAATTAGTAATCTGTAAGTTTCCAAACATTTTTTATTAGAAATATTTTAAAAGCTAAGTGTCTCATATATTTCCTTGCATCATCTGTGACCTTTTTTATCCCGTGTTTCTGGATCAAGGTCATAAGAAACGTTTAGGGTTCCGGAGGAAACGTTCTTCCACAATCAATGTTCATCGGAGTGAAGAGATTGCCCCACAAGAGTGTCGTCACTTGGTCAAACAGTCTAGTAGTGTTTCATCTGATGGGGAAGGAAGTTTAAGTAGTGACAGTACTGCGTAAGTCCTGCACATGGGATTTCAGTTGCAGGACAGGAGGCTTTGGGGCTTGAAGTTATGTGGGCAATGAAGTCATGTCAACTCTCAAACTTTTGAGATGTTTTTTAATTCTTCTAATTAGCTATTTATGGTGATAACTGCACAAATCCATATTATTACTACACCCTATTCTATATCATCTCTTGAGTTTCTGTAGATGACATGATCTCAACAGAACATTGCTTTGTCTTTTGTTTTTTATTACATTATAAAACTAGCAATATATATATACATATATATATATTGCCCTATTCCAATCCTACTTTTTTTAACATCCCCAAAAATCTTGCTGTTTAGTTGACTTGCTTTATCCAGAATAATCAATCACATTAGCCACAATTGATTATTATTTAGATTCCTTAGATTTCCTAAATTTTTATTTTTTTCTATATAGTTCACAATTTTAGACACTTAAGAAATGGTCAATTTTTTAATTTTTATGAATTTGCTACAAATAATATTTATTTGTATACCTGAAAGTGTTTAAACATAGTTTTCTCTTGCATGGTTTATTTCGTTTTTGTTTATTTTACAGAGGGTGTTGGTAGGAAACATAGTGGTAGTGGTATACAGCGTAGTCAAGAAGTGTTTACAACCCCTCAAAACCCACATTTAGCAAGACAAGCAAGCAGAGAATCAACTGATGGTAGTTTGAATAGTATAAGCAGCGACTCATCTTTGTAAGTAGGGACAGATCAGGCGCATAGATTTAAAGTGATGTTTTTCAGCTCATCTTTCTTTCTTTTTTTCGACTTGTCAATATCTATAAGCAACAAAAAATTAAATTTTTTTTGAATTACAATTTGGTGTATCAATTTTTTTGTTATTTCTGAATTTATTCTAATAATTACAAAGCCATATGCAGTGAAAAAGAGCTGGTTTCCATAAAACTATGGTAATCACCATATATTTCAATGCACATGCCATAGTTGTATACTGTTAATATTACTGCGCATGTGCCAAGAAATTCTTTTCAGTGAAGATTCAAATAATTGTTCAATGAAACTTTGAGAATGTTCAGTGTTCTCTGCTATAAGAGTTTTGCTTGCATGTCATCTCAGCTACTAATATTCACCCTACAATGTTTGCTGGGTAGCATGTGTCATTTCCTTCTGTTTCCTGCTCTCTTGCTGGCTTTGATATCAACTTCAACTCATAATGCTTTGCACAATCCCTATGTCATTTGCCTACCTTCGTCCCAGCACATCTCCACTCCTGTCCTGTAACTCCTCATGTATTTACATTAATTGTCGTTTTTTCTCCCTTTACTAGAGTTGATTATAGTTTTCTATTTATTTAGAAAGGGGCAGCACTGATATAGCTAACCTTACCATAAAATTTTTTGAAAGAAAACATATAAACTCTTACACTTAAGAGGCTACATAACTGTCTGGTAGCACCATTGTAAAAGTTTGTTTTTAATAGTGTAACTAAGAAGGTAATTTCTGTGTTTTCAAGTGCCAGCTTGTACCACTCATAGACCTTTTTTACTATAGTGTTATCTTGTGTCTCCTACTTCGCATACAGATAAATGCCTTAATGTATAATTACATGATTGATCAGTGCTTAAGAAACAAAAATACTTTGTAAGCTAGGATGTTCTTGACATACCTTAAGTTAATACAGTCTGTTCAAGTTTTTAATATCACATTATTCCATATTATTTATTATTATAATGACACTTATTATTGGAGATGGGTATTGCCAGCTGTCTTGCAATATAGTACAAAAAATATTTGCTTATTGAGATTAGTTTGTCTACTCACTCATTGGCCACCTAGGCATTATTTAACTTAGATTTTAATATTTTGTACCATTGTCAGGTTGCACGATATATATATACCATCAACCTATGCACAAAGTGCCATACAGTGGGGGCTACTGTTGTATTATAATGCTTATTGTGATAGGGCAACGATGGTTGTAACATCAATTGGATTTAACAGCATTATTTTGATAGCTTAGCCCCAATCTCATGACAGGCTGGTTGAGCTTCTTCCTTTATAATTATATGTAGAGATTGCTTGGGAAACTTAAATTACAGACTAATATGGAGATCATCTAAAATTATAGTTCCACAAATTAAATAAATTATACCCCAAAACAAAGTTCTTGCAAGTTTACCTTATATATTAGTCATACTTCATTCTTTGATCTATAGTGTTTATGGCTAAATCTCCTGCAGTTGTTAAGGCTATAAAAGAACTTTGCATGGCACAAACATGTCAAAACAAACAAATTAACACCACTGGCACATGGTTGCAAGACAACTTTTCACTTGTGCTTGAATTGGCAAGAAAGTATATAACTAGGTAAAACAAATACTTATTTTAGCAAATCATTTGGTCATTAAAAGTTTGAAAATGTTAAATGTATATATATTTTTCTCTTAGCTTGGCATTACCCCACAGAATTCCTATCAAAACATGTGAGGGTGAGGAATTAAAAAAAAAACTTTTTGTTGAAATGTTAGATTTTTATTTTTTTTAAATTTCTAAAAATATTTTGCAGTGAATCATACTCTTAACCCTATGTAAATACAGTGAATCATACTCTTAACCCTATGTAAATACAGTGAATCATACTCTTAACCCTATGTAAATAAGTAATTTATATTATTGACAGCGAGCATTTGTACAGTTCTAAATACAGTGTTATAGTTATTGGTCACAAACTTTACATTTGACACTAAGGAAAATCATGAAAATATTTTGTAAAAACTGATAGTTATTCTTGAATTTGTTTCTGCTAAATGTATGGGAACCCTGAAAATATTAAGCTGAAAAAGATACTGTGAAAAACTGGTTCCAAGGAAAAGTACTGCAATTTGCATACCACTAAGGTTTGAACCACATTATACCAATATACCCATAAAACTTTGAACCCTTTCATAAGTTTTCTTTTTGAATCTACTGTCTTCATGTATGCATTATTCATAATTCTAATGCTCATTTTGTTTATTTTTCTATAATTATAATAATTCAGTTTATTTATAATTTCATTATCGTATTACCTCAATGAACTCATAGTTCTCACTATGTTAACCTAGGTTTTTTTATACTGTCAACATCACATCTTGGCAACCTTGTCAAGGTTCTAATATCACACCAGTTCAGTTCTAATATTATACTACACCAGTTTCTTTGAGAAACTAATGTCAAATATATATATACCCAATGTGTTCATAATTCTAGTGTAATTTACATTCAATCAGCCAAATTACAATTTGAAAATTACAGTAATTTACTTTTCATGTGATTGTTATGTCCACCTTATTTTTTACTTAAGATATTTTTAATATTTTCAAGAAAATTTTCTTTTTTCTTAATATGCTCTCTAGTTTCTTATACTGTTAAAGAATTTTGGTTGAGGTGAGGAATATATATTATTTTGTATTTGTTTCAGTTTGATGTATTTGTTACGTATCTGGTCGTTTGTTACTTTTCGGTGTAAATTCTTTCCAAGGACCTTCAGTGATACAAGTCCTTTCTTAATTAAAACTAGTTTATTCTTTGTCGATACAACTTTGTAATATACAGAATTTCCACAGTCACTTTAAACTTAACAAACTTTATAACACATGCTATAAATCACAGTGATTCAGACACTTTACTTACAGTGCCTACTGTTCGCTTGACTCGATTATCTCTATCTTCAATCTATCTATATCTCTAATATTTATCTGCCTATCGTGCTGGTTTTACTCGCCAGGTTTATATATTAAAAAAGTGGGCATCTCAAATGCACTCGGGCCTTCATGATTCTTCTAGAAACTTGTCACGTGTTACTAGCGTCACGTGACTTCTGCTGACATAACACTGCCACTTCCTTAGTATTGTTCATCCTAAACAATAGCCACTTACGTTAAACCAATAGA